TCAAATTTCCTTCAACACGTGGGGAATAACAGAAATACGAAGGGCAGGACTTTGTAGCTAGGAGACCTAACTCTTCTGAGGCATGTCTGACATGGCTGTCCATTGACCTTTACAGTCGATGAGACTGAGATGCTGGGTATATGGCAGAGGCTCGATGATATTTCATTCTTCTCTCATTGTCTGCCATCCAAAGACTTGCCCCAAACAAGGACAACTACTGGACCATTCTACATCCCCGCCCCTACTACAATGTCACACCTAAAGCAAGCAGCACTAGGGTTGCTATCAGGGGACATACTGACGGCTTTACTTCCTGAGATTTAACCGAAAAGGATTTGTAGACTACAAGCTGATGAGCTCAGAAGTGAAAGTTTGTAATTCCATAATTCAGTGGAAGCTGGCATACTGAGACAACCACAGGAAGGCAAAGTGAAAGAGGTGTGCCATTTCCTAACATGGGTCTCAATCTAAATGTTTTGATCATCCTGCTAACTGGCTAGACCACAGACAGTTTACTTCACATCCATTTGACATTTTCCAAATTTCTAAACATGGACAAAAGCAAAAATTGGCTCTTTCAATGAGGATTAAGGTGAGAATAAAAGACACTGACACATGTGTTGATCAAGTTAACAAATGATGTCCTTCTCATTTTTCTAGTTATGATGCAGGAAATAAGTTTCAGAGTTCAAGGAAGTAACAGAAACAAGGTGAGTTAATGAAGACAAGACAGCAAGAGAGAAGAGAAAAAACAATAGCTAGACTAACAGTTCCACAAAACCATAAATATAGTCCAGGATTTTAAAAATACTAGAAAGCAAGTAATCTTTATTCCTACTAAATTCATATTAACAACAGTACATTGGTCCCATGCACCAGCCCCTCATTCCAATGCAAACACAAGCACCACATCCACAGATGAGCAGTCCTGGGGCAATGTACTTACCATATACAAAATCTCAATATGTGAAGTCATACATATGTTCATTATTTAGATTTAGTTATTCTACAATATATATATATATATCAAAATGTCATGCTGTATGCCATAAGTATATACAACTTTTGTCAATTAAAAAAAAATAGGCATCAAAGAAACAGCTGAATTTCTACATTACCAGAAGCCAAGGGATTGAAAATTAAATTAGATTGGTAAACGAGAACCATAAATTGATTCTAATTTTAAAATAGAAGCAAGAGTCCATTTATAACATCTAGCCTACAACTATCCTCAAATAATGACAACATTAAAAAACCATGAAAGTGTCAGTTATTTTTATTAAGTGTCTTTCATCTGCCAGGCTTTACTACAAGTACATTCCCACATGAATTCAGCAATCTACACAAAATTCTCGTGGTAGACGCCTTCAAAAATGCATAAAATTGCAATGTAACAACCACTGTGGAATTTCTACCATCTTGTTTAGTGAAAATCTGTATCATTTCTAATGTTTTTAAGTTATTTTTTATTCTCTTTAATTGTTTGATCAATCTTGTATTCTTACATCTGGTAATTGAGCAACTTTGTTGAAGATAACAATATGTACTACAATAATCACTGTTAATTTCCTATCATGTTTTGAGATTCTGTATCATTTTTATTGTTTTTGTGTTGTTTTGTTTTTGTCTTTGTTGTTAGTTTTTTCTCTTTAAAATACAATAAAAATACACAAAATTAAAATTATTACGTTTAAAGGAAGAACCTGAAGCACAAAGAGGTTAAGTTAGTTTCCCAAAATCACAGAGCTTAGAAAATAGCAGAAACAGAAGTTGAAGTTCAGGTGTAAGGTTCCCTGAAGTGATCATGTTGGTGAAATTCTCCATCTCTCATAGGGTACCTGTTATGACACTCTAATAAAGCATTTTTGAAGCACAGGGTCATGGTTATTTTCAGAGTCAAACTTTAAAAGAGTGGTCCACTGTTCTCTCCCAAGAGGACCCTTCTCCACCTCCACCCCCCGACTCAGTACTTTCACCCTTTCTTCTCCCATCTGACTCCTTTAAGATATAGGAGCGTAGCATGATTGGTAGAAAAGGGAGTTCTCAGCAGGGGACAATGGAGGAATAAAACAGACGCTCAACATGTGCTCAGTGAACTACATTCAGCTGAACAAATGGGAAAATATGATTATCTGCTTGAGGAGAGAGTACTACAGGCTAACTAACCACTATTCCCTTCCCAGGAAAAGAAAAAGTATTCACAAGTCCCAAGATGAAAGACCCAGCCTCCAATAATAAGAACATACGATCCATGAGCCTTTGTATAGCCCGCCGTCCCCTACATTCCTCTTGATTTCTCTTTCCCACAGTCTTGCTTTTCTTTGCTTTGAGCTGTGTCCTTCCCTTTCTCCATTGGGAGTGGGGGGAGGTGACGTTTCAAGGGAAAGGAACATGGTGGTTGTTATGGTTGATACATTGTGTCAACTTGAGGAGTCTAGAGGTTTTGCTAAGTGACTCAGCAGTTCTACATCCTGGGGTGCAAAGGACATGCTCTTCCTGCTGTAGGATGTTATTCATTGTGTCAGTGTGAGAAGTTTAGAAGGTTAACTATGTGAGTGCTGCCCCCTGGGTGGGGGTAGCCTGCTTACAATATAAGGGAGGGAAAGAGGCTTTGTTATCTTCTGCCTTGGAGCCAGCCCAGTATGGAGTGAAACCTCCACAAACTGTAAGGTAAATAAACCTTTTCTTCCTTCATTTTGGGAGTTGGGTGTTTTGTCTCAGCAACAAGAGAAAAGTAACCAAGACAGTGGTGAACAATCACAGTCCCTTCCTATCAGTCTGTGCCACTCCCCGACACATTTCCACCCAGGAGAAGATGCTGCTGCTGAGGAAGGAATGTGAAAGCCTCTACCCGTTATCTCCTTGGTCCACCCCAATGTGGAGATTCTCAGGAAGGTGTGAAATTAGCTCAGCTTGTCAATCATGGTGCACAGCTGGACTCTAGCTATATTCTAACGTAAGGAAAGAGGAAGCAAACTTTTGAAATTTAAACCAGATGAAAACCCTTTCCTCTGGGCAGGAAAGGTACTTTTCATTGACTTCTCAGAGGAGTAAAGGTTCACCCATGGCTTCAAGCCTTACTCCCTGGCAGAAGGAAATAAGGCGACAGGCCACAGGCACCCCAAGCCAGAAGCCAGAAACAGTTCAAATAAATGCTGCAGAGACCATTTGCCAGCAGCCTGCTAATAAGGAATACTGTAGGCCTAACTCTCAATGCTTTTAATTTCTAAGAGGTGCTTTAACTCTCACTAGCTTTAAGCGTCTTGCTATGGTCGTAGAAAAATCCTGTCAACAAGAAAAGTCTGTGGGGCTAGGAGTTCAGCTCACTGGTAAAGAAGCATGTGTGAAACCCTAGGTTTGATCTCCAGTGGGAGGAGAGGGATGCCCGACTCAAATGTGGCAAGGAAAAAACTAGAGGATGATACAGGACAGGGATAAACCCACACAGTTCTGGGCCACATTTCCTATTGCAAAATACTGGCTTGGCTTCCTTCCTCCTAAAGAAGTTGTCACTCCCCTGCAGCACAGAAAAGAGAGGAACCTGGAGCCCACAAGGAAAAATACGGCAAAAGCATTTAATTTAGTCTCGAAAGACATAGGCATTCTCCATGGCATTATCAGGGAGCTGTTACTGTGGGTCAAATGGCAGCAGCAGCCGCATATAAATATGGACAGAATCAAAAGGAGCCGGCAGCAAAGAGCCCTCAGAGGCACATCCTCTCAAATTAGCCGCACCTGTTCCATCAGGCCCTCAGGCTGCCCCTTGTCTCTTGAGGGAGAAGGTAGAGCCTGCAGGTTTTGGCTGCCTCTTAGGTTCTTTCTCTGCAGCGGGATAAAACCAGAGTCCCTACCTTCTTACCTTTTCTGAAGGTGACATGGAGATCACTGAAGTTTACAGCAAATCCCATGAGGGTTATAAAATGCTCCAACCCTTATACAAAAGCTGCACGTAAATTCAATAGTACAAATAAAAACGAAGCTCAGACAAAAAGGAAGGCAGAAGTAACCAACTTGGCCCAGAAGTAAACAGCTACTGGGCCAACAAATACAGGCCAAGAAGTGCAGTGTCACCAGTCATTAAGGAAATGCAAGCCAAAACCAGCACCCACTAAGATGATTTCTCTGAAAAACAAACAAACAAAAAAAACAACTGGAAAGTAGAGCATTGGCGAAGATATGGAGAAGCTGGAGCCCATGTACACGCCTGGTGAAATATGAACTACTACAGCTGCTTTAGAAAACAGTATGGTGGTTCCTTAAAAATTTATAAATAGAATCAATGTAGGATCCTGCAGATCTACTCCTGGACACATTCTTGAAAGAACTGCAAGCAGGGTCTCCCGACAAGCATTTGTATGCCTCAGTTCATGGCAGTGTTATTCAAAATAGCCAAAGGGAGAAACAACCCAGGTGTCCACTGGCAGTTGCACAGGTACACTGTGGTGCAGACATAGGGTGGAGCACTCTTCCGCCTTAAATGGGTGCACCTTGATGACGTTATGCTACGTGAAAGGAGCCAGATGCGAAATGAAAAACTGAATGGTTCCACTCATATGAGGTGGACTTGTCAAATTAAAAGAGAAAGAAATTAGAATGGCGTGGGACAGGGCAATGGGGAATTGGTGCTTGATGATTACAGAGTTTCAGTTTTACAAGATGAGAAGAACCGCGGAGTGGATGGTGCGGACTGTTGCACAACCATGTGAATGTACTTCACGCCAATGAACGGCTCAACAATGGTTAAGATGGCAAATCTCAAACTGTATTTTACCACAATACAAAAAACTGGAGGCGAGAAAAAAAAGGTGAACAGCCTGTTTTTTTCTTCAAGATTAAAAACAAATCTTCCTGGGGAGGCAGAGAGAATAATTAAGAAGGGAACAACAGGGCCTTCCACATAAAAACAACACATGTTTTTAAGCTTTTTAAAACTCAGGCTCAGCTTCAAAACAGCCCAAATCACACACATGCACCCCCAGGAACCACAGGAAGCTACTCACCTCACTGAGGTAAATAAAAAAAGAGCAGGTGGACCCATCCACTCCATACTCAGCGTAGCAGGGATCCGAACGCCACATATCTTTCATCCACTGAAATGGACAAGAGCAGAGAACACCTCTGAGCAGCCTGTTGCTGGTATCCCTGCCTGTCTGCCGACAGCACTGGAGGGTATGAGGGTGATGGTGGGGTGGACAGCTCAAGCTGCGGTCTGAAGACAGGGCAACAGGACCACTGAACTGAGGTCAAGACCATCAGCGGCTCAGCTTCCACAGGATCCACAAACATACAAAGCTTCAGGGGGCTCAAGCAGAGGCGCACAGAGGAAAGACAGGCCTGAGAGGCAAAGGCTAGAAGAGCTTCATCAAGACAAAGTGCCTGCAGAGACGCTCACACAGAGCTCTCCTCTGGGCACTACAGTTCCAGGAGACACAGCACAGTGACAGGATGCGCAACGTTTAGACGAGGGTTTGAGCACCCCAGAAGCATGGGTGAGCATTCGCAAACACCGCAAGGGAGACCAGATAGTGTTTCCAAGGTTGGTCTCTCCATCCTAACTGCACATCTGAGCTGAAACTTTTGTCTAAATGCTCCTGGGCAAGCTGTGGTCTCAAGAGCAGGCCATGCAAATAGAATTTCATTTTTTTTTTTAATGTTAGCTGTGAGTCAGTAGAGGGGCCCATGCCTAACACACATGAGGCCCTGGGTTCAATCTTCAGCACTGGAAAAAACAAACAAAAAAACCAAAGAGAGTAAAAGAGCAGTCAAGTGTCTCCGGGTACTAAAGTGGAAATGCATATGCCGCATTTAAAGGACAATCCAGTTTAAATAAGCAAGGGCCTGGGAAAGAGGGAAGATGGGCCCTAAATAACAGCAGCCCCTTGTCACTGGTCCTTGAAGGGATTACCCATTAGAGGCTGGGAAAGAAAAGGAAAAGCAGTGGCTCAGCAGGTATGTGAAGTGGCCCGTGTTCCTCCAGTATGACCAGTGAGAGCCACTGTCAGCTAACCCATGGAACAGGCATAGGCAGAGAAGGGTCCTCACAGGCACAGCACAAACTTGACAGGATGGAGGAAACCCTTAAAGGATGTGCTTCAAGGGCTCACTCACCCACTTGTATCACTGGGAAGCAGAAAGATCGAGGATGATGGAAATGAAGAGGCGTGGCTTCCACCTTACCTTGATTTTCCCCTCGCAGTGGGGGTAGCCTTCCATAGGAGGCAATACACATTTTTCTTGAGCTCCATTAATGATATCTGAAAAGAATGGAAAACAAAGGATACCATGAGGTCCACAAAATATAAGCCTAACATCCTTGTAAGCAGAGAGGCAGGGAAGAAACCAAAACAGAGGCCTATTTTGGCAGATATGTTGTGATCCATGGAAACGATCCAGTTCCAAACATGTCTGATTGGCCTGTGGTGAGGACCTGACCAAGCACAGCCCACCAACAGGATGGCCAGAGCCCAGTGCAAAGGGTGTGCTAGGGCAAACAGAGAGCTCTGCTTAGAGATCTACAACTGAGAAACAGAAAAAGCAAGTAAGCGGGGAGCAGGAAGAACAGTCCCTAGACTAGGAAGGCCCATCAGGGATGGCGGGGCCATTCTAGTATCAGCTATAAGCTGAGCTCATGTGAAGCCTTCATGAAGATGTGTATATGAGCTCAAGAAGCCAACAGCAGAAAGACAGACAAAGCTGGAGTCCAGAGGATGAAAAAACACAAGACAGAGCTCTGCCACACCAAGGAATCCTACTCCGCTCCTGCGACACCTGACTTCTTATAGATCTGATTAAGATGGGCTCTGTACCCCCTTAAATATTTCCTCACCACAAATCCCTTTCATGTTAACTAGTTCAAGTGGATACCTGGGTGCTACAGAGTGAAAACTAAAAAGAATGCCTTCAAGAAGCTTAACTCTAATAGTGAACAACAGACACACGAACAAGTGAACAATGGTGTAGCGGACATGATTCAGGCTGGACAAGGGAAGAACATTCAACTCAGTCTCTAGGAGTCAGAGAACGGCTCCCGGGATCTACGGCCCCATTATGGGAGATGTGAAAGGGAAGCAGAGATGAACCAGCCAGCCAGGCGATCTAAAGATGTCATTCAAGAACTGAGGTCGGTGCAAACCCAGGGGCCCACACTGGCCGGAAGGACAAGGTACTAAGAGGCAGACTGGGCCCATACAGGGAAGGCCGGGATCACCACCACAAGGGTTTTGGTCTTTTCCTAAGAGCACAGTAAGGCAATGAACAAGGAAAAGTTTCAAAGAGGGAGTGGTTATGATCGACGCTTTCTCTGGGAAGCGTCATTTTAGTTGGAAATTAGGACAACTCTAAACATACACGGCTTTCTTCTTTTTCCAGAAATGCTTAAAAGATGTCACCATTATTTACTGCCAACAATTTTCTATACAACTACTAATGAGAAATTAGATGCCAAATTGAAATATTATTGGACAAGGATATTTAAATAATACCTCAGTGGCTGTCAGTGCTAAAACAAAAGTTAGGGTTAAGAAGGATCTCAGTGTATCCCAATCCTTGAAGGCAGGTTGTTTTGATATCTTGCAACAGATTTTGACTCCCTGATTCAGGGCTTTCTACATGACATCTACTTACTAACCATTAACTGCAGCATAGATGTCAACTTTCTCTTTATCTGGGATTGGAGGCAGGATCACCCATAGTTAAAATGGAGTTTCTTAGCTTGTCAGAACCTCTGTTTTGAGGTCTCTAAAATGGGAATGACTAAAGCTCTATTTCATTCAGCTGTTATAAAAGAAGCTAGTATTTCTAAGGAGTCTGGCCCAGCACAGCCATTTCTGGAAATTCTCTGAGTTTCTGAAATATGCGCAGGGTTGAGTTACCAGTTCACCCTTTGCTCCCATTATGTCAGGTGACAAGTCTAGAAGCCACTTACACACAGAATGCCTCAGAGTAGAGTATGCTCCCCAGTACTATGACCCCTCTCACTGTTTCTAATTCCAATTTTCTTTTCTTTTTTTTTTTTTTTTTTGTACCGGGAATCGAACTCAGGACCTTGAGCTTGCCAGGTGGGTGGGTGCTTATGCCACTGAGCTATACCCCTGGCCCTTTAATCCCAATTTTTCTGGACAACACATACCAAATCAGTGAGTAGCAGCAGAGGTTCTGAGAACTAAGGCAGAATCACAACAACCTGGAGTTGGGGTAGTGGGATGTTTTAGGGGATGTTTAGAGTGATAAATCACCTACTCCCTCACTGTACATTTACTACCATGATATTCAAAGCCAGAGGCTACCAATCTAGTGCTGTGGTGGGAGATGGGCTGAAGGGGACACACCCGGGAGGAAAGTGAACTCTATGCTTGTTGCTGTGAACTAATGCTTGTTGCTGACTCTGTGGAGCTTCATTCAGAATTTCAAGGAATAAAAATATGTTTTCCCAAAGGCTGACAAGCTGTTCTGTAATGGATAAGACAGCAAATACTTTTGGTTCTATAGTCTCTGTCACAAGGACTCAACCTGGCTACGGTAAAAACAGAAATGCATGAAGGAATGGGCGGGGCCGTGTTCTAACCACACCGGGCTTACAGAAACACACGCACACTGTCCACTACTCCACAGAACTCCCAAAGCGCAGCAGCCTCCTCATTTCTACAAAGACCTGCCAAAACGACTACTTTTTAGGACCCCTGCAGGTATTCTTCTCAGCCTTTCCCACCTTCCACCTTGTCTGTAACTCCTTAAAACCCTCTCCTTTTATTTACAACTCAAGGAGGCATTCACCTCCCTAAGGTCAGAGTCCTCAGTCCTTTGGGTTCAGTTAGCATTTGGCCTTGCCTCCTCTGGGCTTCCCTGGGCTCCTGCTCATGTGTTTCTTTGTATTTGTCCATCTTCCCCCATAGGACATAAGGAACCTAGGAGAAGGTTATGCCTTTGTTACAGAAGCTACATTAGGCAGAAATATTGTAGACAGTCAGACAGGCCTAGGCCCCCAAAGGAGCCAGTGCAGAAGACAATATATTGCAGCTGTAGGGGAGACAGACACATCTGTCAAGGGCCAGACCTCAAGACAAAAGATAAAGCAAATGCACCCACATCTCCCCTAAGGATAAACAGCCACACCCTCCAGGAAAAGCTCCTGTTCTGTTTCATGCCTGCTTGCTATGTGTTCCCCAAATGGGGAACATTTAATCAATATTACCCATTTAGTCAATATTACCTGAACAATTACGCTCGTAATCTTGTTGGTTGATCATAGTTTTGTACCACCTCATACTCACCTTGTGATTTCTCATTTTTCCCCCACCTTGGACGGGCCTCACCTCTTGGTTCTGCTCTATAAAAATCCCTTGAAAAGACAGGGTGCCCAACAACCCACTCAGGACCTCTTCTGTCTCTCTCTCAGACAGAAGCTTGCTTTCCCATTAATACATTCTGCTCTTAACCACCACTGTTCCTAGAATTCATTCTTCGATTTTAGAGAATATGAACCTGTATGGCATATCTAGCAGGTTGGGAGTTTCTTTCCCCATATCACCTTCTTGCTGGATCACCAGACATTATGTAAGTGCTCTTTGAAGGGACACACACATTTCTGCCTGCCTCCGGGTTTGACTCCTGGGCTTGGGACATCTAGATTGAACAAACACTCCTGTGAGCCAGGGTTTTTACTATTCCTCTTTGGGAATATGTTAGCTAATCCATCACACAATAGAATTATGCTCTACAATTCTGTTACCTTTTAGATGAACTTCTTCTCCATTAATTAGTTACACAGAAATAGGGCTGACTAGACAATGGGCTTTCAAGCTTTCAAAGGCTTTAGTCTGATGATGCTCTGAGCTGTGAGGTAGGAGGATCTGCCTCACTAATAGGCAGTCCCAGCTGATAGAGACTACTATGAAGCAGCCCTGAGCAGGACTTAAATTAACCAATTGGCTTTTTATGTTTACTTGTGAATCTGTCCAAAGCCTAGGCCACTTGCCTGGAAGTGGGCGACAGACTCATAGTAAATGAACCTCTGTGAGTTATTAATCCCTACTAAAACCTGTAGTGGCAGATGAAGCCAGAACGCCTCAAAGGATAAGACAAGATCACAGCCAAGGACACCTGGATATGATCTCCACTAGATAAAGACTATAGCCTCAGGCATCTCGCTCCTGGATGAATTAACCTAATCCTTATTAAGGATTAATTTAATACCCTACTTGGAGAAGTCCTTAAGTAATTCCATCCTTCCTGAGTATTCCTCTCCTTTCTTCTGATAACCATATAAATACAGGCCACCCAGAGAAGGTCTTGGTCTTTGCCCTAAGAGACTCTCAAATTCTGTGAGAGGGCTTTGATCCTCCTGGAGCCCTGAAAGCATTCCATTCACCTCTTTTTATTTAGCCTTCGTCCTACACTCATTTGGGAGATTGCGGACCTGATTAGCCTTCAATAACTAAGGGATATTATTAACCCAAGACCCAGCCTAATGGCACGGGGCAGACCTGATGTCTGAGTCCAATGGGACCACCCTGCACAAGCCCCTCTGTCATCGTACAACTCGTGCAACTTTCAGAGGCCAGCTTCCCCTAATCTCTGTTTGGTTAAGGAAAAATTTCAGGTCAAAAAAGTTAATGTTACAGCTTTCCAGAGAAGACTGTACTGACTTTACACTTAGGTCTTTCAAATGAAGGGGGCAGATTTACCCCAATTCTTGTGCCCTGCCAATCTGTACAAACTGTGTGTATTGGGGGGGGGTGGTTAATGTATGCAAGGAGTTCAGCTCTTACTACTATTTAGGATTTCATTTCATCCCTCATCCTCAAAACCAGCCTAGACTGCAACATCTTTCACCTAAAACATCACTGTTATCCTGACCGTACAGAACTGTCAACAAGGTATCAACACAGAAGGCAGATTATGGAGGTGTGAAAACACTGCTATTTTCCCCAGTGCTCATACAATGGAGAATGCACTCAATTTTGGGTTTAATCTAAGAGAACAAACACTTTTCCTGCCATCAGAAATGCTTTAGTTTAGGATGAAGACACAACAATGGGATATTTCTGTCAGGTTCGGGACCTGGGTCTTCCCTCATGCTTCACACAGACGTGCCTACCTCAAGAGAGATAAATGTGTATGTAGGGAGGCAACACCATCTTAAATACACACCAAAAAGTGACAGGCACAAAGCCATTTGGTACCAGATAGGTTTTTACACTTGTGTCTTTCTCAGCCCAGTCACTAGGAACCTGCTGCCCACTGACCTCTGGGCTCT